AAAAACAAAAAAAAAAAAAAACAAAACAGCTCAATACTGGTTGATGTCTGTCACTAAGTATTCTGGAGTTATTAACTGATGTTAATATTAAGTATGTTCTGCCATCTGTTGAGCGGTGAGACCTACAGTACATTAATGTTTCAAAAATGTTTTAAGATGTTAATTTACTGGCCATAAATGAGGTGGTACAAAGACTGCCAAAGAAGCAGAAGGGGCCACAAAGACTATTGTCAAGTATGTGTAGGAGGGGTCACATTCAACTTATTATACATCTATCAATTCTGAAATTCTGAAGACCTCTTCCTTCAGGTGTAACGGAATTTACTTCAAACCAACAGCTGCAGCTCCTCTTGGCGAACTGGTGGAACCTCTAGTAGAGCTGTTGGCCCCTCTTGGTGAGATGCTGGCTCCTCTTGGAGAGACGGTGGCTCCCCTGGAATTCTGTCTGGCATTGGGGCCTTTGCCATTACAATCCTCCATGTGGTCCCTCAGGCCCAAGGGGCTGACAAAGCCCTCCCAGCACTTGGGGCACTGGTTCTGAGCTTTGAGAATGTGGATATTGGATTTGTAGTGACGGTTCAGATCAGACTGCGTTACTCCTTTGTAGTTACACAGCTGGCAGTGGAATTCCCGAATACCTGGGAAAAGGAAATCAAAATATAATGAAAATCAAATATTGTGGCAGAAGATTGTGACAGGCATCACACCTAGCACAATTTGACAGAAGATTGTGACAGGTATCACACCTAGCACAATGTGACAGAAGATTGTGACAGTTATCACACCTAGCACAATGTGACAGAAGACTGAGATAGTTGCCAAACCACACAAAAGACCACTCACCTTTGTGACGTAACATATGCACCTTAAGCTGGCTGTTTGTTCTGGCTTTATAATCACACACGTTACATTCATATGGACGCACATCTAAAACAAAAGATAAAAAACAACATTATTTTTCCCGTTAAAACCAAGAAAGATTTTATTACTAAAGCCTAGATATTGACACTAGGCACTTTACTTAATACAATGCAAAAAGTGTAATATGCTCAATGCTAAAGATATTATACTGTCATCAATGCTTAAGATATTATACTGTCATTATACTGTCATATTTAGACAAAGATGTTGCCGTTAGAACTTGGGTCACTGACATCTCACATTTTGCGTAAAAAACATGGGGAAGTAACAGTACTTTTAAATCAATCAAATCTTGGGCATCAAAAGAAACAATTGGAGCTCTTCAGCCTTGGTACTTCAATGTAAACTTTTGGAAGAAAAATAATATTTTCTGTCTCTGTGAGATAACAGCAGAAAATGCACTAGTCCAAGATAATTTTCAACACAAAGCAACTACAACTCTGCGGACCACAACTCAAGTGCTACTGTCACATGACTGATGGTGCTGCCACCTAGTTACCTTCATGGAAGTCCAAGTGCCTGTTGATATCTGCCAGAGTCGGGAACTCTCTGCCACAGAAAACGCAGCGGTAAACTGGCACACCTTGAATTATGATTGGCTGACAGGATTCTTCTCTTCTGCTGGGATCTTTCACTACAGCAAGCCTGAGCAAAAATAAGGCATCAACAAATATAATACAGGTTATGACATCTATAAAATAATACCTAAGTCTGCAAAATATGAAACTAAATAATAATAAAAAAGAGATCTAAAGCTTTTTGCAGTAACTCCATAAAACTGGGATAAAAAATATTTAACAAACTAGTAATGTTAGCAGTTTCACAATTATACACGGAAGACCTTAGAAAACTCACCGAGAAGTCGATCTTCTAACATTTCCCAGTCCAGATGCAAACATGTTTCCACCAAATTGTGATTCGGGCATTCCTGCTATGAGCATGTTTGGGGGACATGAAAAGCTGCTAGACTTGGTTGCCATGGTAATGACAGGTGTAGGCGCACCCGTCATGGATGGTGTCATAGATGGGGCCATGGTAGGTGCTGAGGCAAATCGAGATTCTTGTCCTCTGAAGAGATTTGTCTGATTGTGAGATGCAGGGAATGATTCTCCTTCAATAAATTCTACATCGTCTTGATCCTTGATGTTTATATGTTGTTGGCCTCTAACAACTTGTTGACCCCATGTCTCTTGTTGACCTTTGAACTCCTGTTGACCTCCAACCTCATTTTCATTTCTGATCACATGTATATCCAAATTCTCTTGTTGATCTCTTGTCCCATATAGAGGATTGTTGTCAATGTTAGCATCAGCATTGTTGGCACTGACAGGGGAAGTAAGGAGTGTCTTGGGGCCAGAACCTAGGAGTTTGGTCGGCAGTGCCCCCTTGCGGCGAGTTCGTGCTGAAAGGTGCGACATCATGCTGGTGGGCTGGTTGTTTGGAACTAGAATGCCAGGTGAAGTGAAAACATCACTTTCTTCCTCATCTTCCTCCTGGTCATCCACAATGTCTGGGTTTCTTGGTCCTAAAACATCCTCGTCTCCGAGTGGCTCGTCAGAGGGCAGCACCACTGTGACATCCTCACCAACGCCATCTTCCTGCCTAATTTTCTTGATTTTTGATTGTTGGTCTTCCTCTTTTGTTTCTTCCTCTTTGAAACTTGGGATTTCTTTCTTTCTGTTGATGTTTCCTGCGTTTTTCAGACTGGCTATCTTGTTTTCCAATCTGGATTTGTAAGAAGAGAGAGAACTACCACCACTGCTACGTCTATTCAGGCGGTTTCTAAAAACGGAGTACTTGTTGGTTGAAAAGAAGGAATGTCTTCTGACTGGCTTCAGAGCAATCAGATCGTCGTGGTTTTTCACATGGTCATGAAAGCGTACAATATGTTGTCGAAGGTTTCGCATCTCACTGAATCCCTTTCCACATTCACGGCAATAGCATGGTTTAACTCCTGTGTGGATGCGTTCATGCCTACGGAGAGAAAAGAGACGGAAGAACCCTTTGTTGCAGGTGCGGCACTGATAAAAAGTTGTCCCTTCACCCTCTCTGTTGGAACCCTGGATCCCAGACAACCTCTTCAAGTATGTCTTCTCACTGGCTGGCCTGGCGTAGTTCCTCAGCATCTTTGGTGTCTCCATTGAGCTCAGCACGCTGACGTTCTGTGAGATCAAATGATCAATTCTCTCCCTGATCTTGTCTTTCATATCTCCTTCCTCTTCTTCCATTGTGTCAGATCTGGCATCTCCTGCGAGTCTACCTCCATACTGGGAAATGCCCTCTGCTGACATCTGGTGGCCACTTGAAAAATTGTCAAATTCTGGGTTGTCATGCTTGAAGTGCCACTCCAAGTGGTAGACAAACTGCATACGTGAAGTGAAACTAGCACCACAGGCCTGGCAGCGATACAAAGCAGGGTCTTGGTCAAAATGCAGTGGAAGATGAATCTGTAACTTCCCAAGGTCAGAGTAGACCTGGCTGCAGAGGTGACACTTGTACAAGGCCATCCTCTGCCCCGTTGTGGTGTCGTAACCATCGAGGCGGCTCACAACCATTGTCTCCTCGATAACCTCAAAGTTTTGCTTGCTCATGTTGAGGCTCTTGACCTTCTGTGCCTGGCTGTAGCTATCCCAGGACTCCTCATCCTGCAACATGACCTCTGTATGTTTCTGCATCACTTGACCACTTCCTGTCCTTGCATTGCTGTCCACTGTTGGTCCTTGACTATCATGTTTTTCATCCTGGAAACTTATGTTGTGGAATACAAGACCTTTACGCCCTGGACTTGGCTTGGTAACGGGAATGAGGTTTTTCTGTGTTGGTGCAGCGTGGTGTTGTTTCTTTCTCCGTCTCCATGGGTTCAGTGGTTTCCCCTCTTGCTGGCTTACATTATAAACATTAGTTTGGCTACTGGCACCATATGACCTGTAAGCCTGGGGATTTCTTAATCGGAGACCTCGAAGCACTGATGGGCCTTGATAGCTCTTGGCAGACCCTGGCTCAGTCTCCTCTTGCTCTTGACTTGTAGTGGCTCCCTCTTTCTGCAGACTTTTTGGCTGAGTTTCCCCAGTCTGGCTGATGCTATGGTTGGAATTCTCCCCTTTTTCTTCGATGTCATCCAACATTTGACCTGTAGGAGGCACTCCCATTTGGCTACATTCAGAAGATGAATCCTGAGTAGGAATGTCCAGTTTTATCAAGGCCTCATTTACAACCACGGCTGATGCATGACCCAAATCTAGCCCACCATTGCCATTCACCAAGACAGAGTCACCTCCCCCGCCCATTTCTTCAATCCTCATCTTCACCAACTCTTGTTCTTTTTGTTTGTAGTGTTCTTTAACCTTCAGCCGCAAATAGCGCTCTTCAAGACCCTGACTCAGCTCGACATCCATGTTGTGGTGAGCTTTCATGTGATATAACATGCTGCCCTTGGCCTTGAATGCCTTTCCACAGACCTGAGGAGATAGATTATTTCATATAAGTGGAGAAGTGCAATATACTGGGTCACCATACACTTTATCAAATATTATAGAACAGATGTATTTTGTTTATGCAATACTTCATCCAGATAATTGCAAATTAATACTACTACTACTACTACTAATAATAATAATAATAATAAACGACAATAACAATAATAAAATAAAATAAATCAAAATATATAAATGAACGAAAATAAAATAAAAATTAGAACTATATATATATATATATATATATATATATATATATATATATATATTTTGTTGTTTCACATGTAGAGATAGACAACTTTAATCAAACTGCTTGTCTCCCACTTACTGCACATTTGAAAGGTCTCTCTCCTGTGTGTACCATGAGGTGGCGCTTCAGGTCGCTTGGCTTGGGACAAACTTTGCCACAAAATGTACACGTGCGGTGGGCCAGGAAGGAGGACTTGCCGTCAAAATGCTGACTGAGTTTGTGCGAGAGACTTTGACTATCAGGAGAGATCCATGGCCCATCTTGAGAATCCTCCTGACCAGTCCCACCCATGCTGCCATCTTGTGAGATACCCTGCAAACAATTATGTTTTAAATGATAGGTTTAAAGGTATGTGAAATGCTTAAAATTCATCAATTTGTATTTGTTCAAAAGCAAACCCAATACATAATCTTCTTAAATAATTCTATTTATCATGCAATGGTAGATATAGAATATGACACTATTGTATTTATGAGTGTAAAAGCAGGCCAATACATAAAGAGTGCATTCCCAGAGATTCAGATTGATCCATTCGGATCGACCCAACTCGCTGGGGGTTCACGCTAAATTGCAGTCAGCCGAGCGCACATGGCAATATTACCCCCTTACAGCTCTTAGTAGGCCGGACAGGTGCTTAAGCCGGCTAAGCTGACAGTAATCTAGTGAGACTCCCCACAGGGATAGATTGATCTAAAATCTGTGGGAATGGGGTCAAAGAGATCTAAGTTTATGTAAGAGCAAACTTTTTACCTCATCATCTTGCTCCAACTGAGATTCTGGCCGAGGGCTGGAGTCAGCTGACATGGGTGTATTTCTGCCACCATGTTGGAAACGGCCTTGTGGGATAGAAGAACTGTCCCCTGACTCCTGGGACCCACTTTCAGCACTCGCCTCATCCAACTTCACTAACTTAGCACCATGATAAGCACCGCTCTGGACAGCGCCAGCACCTTTGAGGTAGAGCGAGGAGGAGAGGAGGCCAGCGCTCGTTGGCCAGGTGCCCTTGATGTTCTCCAGCTGAAGTTTGCGCTTGCGTGCCTCAGAATATTTCTGTACGATGTTGGTGTTTTGTGACTCCATCCCGTGGTGCATATACTGGTGGTATTGAAGACTGCGTTTGGCTTTGAAAGCTTTGCTGCACACCTGAATATTATATACACATATATCAATGAATAAGTGAGCACACCATTCTATACTGACACATGCGCACACATGCAAACAAACAAATACACAAACTAACTCAAACACAAGTATGCAGGTTATGTATGTACAGTAAAGGTATGCATTGTACACTTCAGTATATTCAAACAAGTATTTGTAAAATTACATATGAGCATAGCTTAAACTAGCGTAAGCCCATTTGAGAACTAACAACACTCAAAACTAAAAAAATGCAAATGGATATACACAAAATACTAGTATACAAATAGACACCTGACACAGCACCACAGGGGTACTCACATTACAGGCAAAGGGTCTCTCTCCAGTGTGTTTACGGACATGTCGCTCTAAGTCAGCAGGGCTCTTCTTTACCACACCACAGTACATACATGTGCGATCAGTGAGATCTAGTAGACCGGTTTGACTGGAGGGAAACTTGCTGCAATGGAAGTATTCATGCTAAATTCATATATGTTTACAGGAAAGTAAGACTGTAAACTATGGAGTTTAAGGTTTTTTTTGCAGAATATTTTTACTGGATGACATTACTTTAGATACTTATTAATCTGTACAAAAATTAAACTGCAATTACAGAATGTGATTCAGATTGTTACTAAATTTAAAGCTGCCAAATACATGTTCTGTTTTGACTTAAAATGCACATTAGCATAGAGAAGAAATGATCACCTAGCACCAAAGGACAAAGACTGTGATTGGTTAGGATCTGCCAGTTCCAGCTTGTTCAACCAATCCCCACCACCGGCTGTTCCAAGCAAAGAATCTGAGCCTGGGAAAATGCTTTTCTGGGAAGTTGAACTGGTAGCGGGCACCTCCTGTACACCAGCACTTGTGGGATCATTGTCCCCCAAGGCATTCAGAACTTTATTCAACACTTGGAAATCACTGTCCTGATCTTCCGGCCACTGGACGTTGTGTGAATTTGATGAGGAGTGGGTGGTGTCTGTTGCCATAGCTTCTGGTATACTGGTGGACTGGGGGTCAGTTACAGTGACTTCTGACGAAGTTTGACCTAGACTGACCGGCCCTTGGGTCAGCAGATCTGTCCCTCCACCTTCTTTGCCATCTTCATCTAAAATTGTAATGTGTAAATGTGTTAATTTCAGCTTTAAAACAAAATGCCTTATACTCACAAATGAAAGGTTATAAAACATGTTTTTAAATACCATGTATAACCAGAGTAAAAAATTTAAAAAAAAATTAAATAATAAATAAATGCACAAAATTTAAAAAAATAAAAATAAAAATAAAAAATTAAGAGATCAATATGCTGGAATATAACAACACTTGACACTGGACCTATAAGAGGACCTATAAAATAAACAATCTTGTTTTACATGTAACATGCAATTCAACATGTTATTTAATTGGCAGCAGGCAATGTACTTGATCATTCAGGATCATGATGTAATGAAGTGGCCAAAAAAAAAAAAAAAAAAAAATACCTATCATCCCTACTAATTGAACTTGGTCAGTGTGTATAAATTCTTGTAGTTCAAAAACTACAAACACGGCAAAAAAAATACCTGAAGAAGCACAAACAAAATATAAATTAAACAAGTATCATAAATAGGTATCGGTAAATAACCGAAAATAAACCATTAAATCAGTCTAAATTATTTTACTTTTTACTCAGAAATGATGTGGAGATGAAAACCATTCATGTTTTTAATCCTGTATTCACCCAAAAAGGCGAATAACATTTTAACTTTCTTGGAAAATAGAAAGAAAAAAGGGAGAAAAAGGACGATCCCAAACCAATCCTCCATTCATCTCATTACTTCCGCCTTAACTTCGACCTCTGACCTTTTATGTCAAGACTTGCCAAATGCACGTGCAACACAACAACAATCAACAAACCCAACAACATCACTTTATTTCTCCATCAAATTCTCCGATCGCATTTTCAGCGTCCACTCTCAAACCCTCCCTTCAGAGCCCCTCATTACTAATCCACTTCCTGTGCACGTGTGTCTCGAGTCACGCGTACGTGAACAAAAGTAAACAGCCTGCAAGAACGTGCGTCTGCATACGTATTAGCACGCCGCCCGGCGTCGCTGCCAGCCGCCTCAGCGCCAGCAAAGGTTGTTTTTCTAAATTCAACACTGCGGCTTAATGTGTGCATCCAGGCACGCTTATGTATTCAACCCGGCTGTCACGCACTCTGCTGATACGTCAGCACATGCGCGTGCGTGATTCATGCATGTTAATTTCATCCCCGCCCATACGCGGTCGAAAAGGGGAAAAGATACAATAAATACACTTACTTAAGATGTGTTGAGGCTTCGATTGTTTCCTCCTCGACATCTCCTGCCCTTTATATCGAAGACCTTGAAGTTAGTTGAGTAAAAACAGCACTTAAAACATGCAAATAAACATCAAAACGCGAGAGCTCGTACACATTCATTAGCACCGGCGGCCATCTTTGACTTTGCAGTCTGGGTATGCCACATGTGGTACTTGCATGCGTATTTCATCAGTTCCTCGTTAGAAGCCGGTTATCTTCTTTATTGTATTCCATAACATATTTTTAAGAATGGCCGATGCAAATGCAGAAAACGAAGGACCATTAGGGTATGTAGAGCGTTTCTAAAAGTTTTATTAAGTTACAGATATGTCCCTTAAAGACCCCGATCTTATGCTGTTGTTATGATGTATGGCCTACATTGTCAGTGTGAACCGGGGACACGCATTTCCTTTATGAAGTTAATACACTGCAGCACGACCTTGGATGTATTGATCATTGAAATGTGTGCGTGCCTCAGCGTGTGACTTCAGAAAAACCATAATTGTATCGTCCTTTGTGTAAACTTTACTTATAGCTGAAGATGTAACATGTTACATAAATGTCGTCTTTTTTCTTTACGGATAGGGTTATAAATGTAATAAAGTGTTAAATTACACGATTTATGGTAAATGCATTGTGAAAGTTTGCAGTATCACTAGCGCATTTCTGCCACATGCTTATACACATGTAGTCCCAATTTATGGCACTAATAACCATAACTTATACCACGTAATTTATTCTTGATAAACATATGAATGTTTTTGAAGTAGATGACGGTACACAAAAGAAAAGTAAAAATAGAAAACAAAATTACTTCTTTACCTGCCATAATCAAGGCCTTCCAAGCCAGCATTTTTCCCCTCCTCAGCTCATATTTTAAGGATTTCCCCCCACATTTTCTCCCAACTTCTACCAACTTTAATCTTTTTTTTTTTGATACATTTTTGGAAAAGCAAAAGATGACCCTCTTTTTTTTTTTTGGAGGGGGGGGGGTAAACAAGAATAGATTAAAGAGTGGGAAGAAATGTGAATGAGCAAAATACCATGGAAAGATGGAATACAATAGGCATACTGTGAATTATAATTTCCACTTTTCAGTCCTGATGGGAAACCTATATCTAAGAAAGCCCTGAAGAAACAACAGAAACAGGCTGAAAAGGCAGCTAAGAAGGAACAGCACAAGCAGGCTGTAAGTCAAACTTACATTGATCTTGTCAGTTTTCGAAGTATTTTGTTAAATAAAGATAGGACATACTGGATCAAACTGACATCAGAAAAGCTTATGCCAGTACATTGCTGTGCTCTGTCAAGCTTAAAGCGTAGTTTCCTTCAGAACACTGTTCAGGTTGACCCTTTACTTGGACTGCATTCCCACAAATTTTAAGATCGATCTATCCCCGTGGGGAGTCTCAGTAGATTGCTGTCAGCTTGGCCAGCTTAAATGTCTGTCCTGCATACTAAAAGCTGTAAGGGGGTAATTAACTTCGATGCGAGCTCGACTGACAGCAATTTAGCGTGAACCCCCAGGGAGTTAGGTCGATCCAGATGGATCGATCTCAATCTGTGGGAACCCAGTCTAAGATATCATATCTTACCTCAAAGCTGATAGTTTTGCCATCAGCAAGAGCCTTCTAAGCAGACAGGTGACTTTACTCGACAATTTTTTTTAATCTTGAGACATTAACATTACTTCTACTCCAGGCTGGAGGAGACGGAAATGAAGATACAGAAAAAGAAGACTTTGCAAAGGACTCTTATGGCAAGTGTCCCATGAACCAGTCCCAGGAGAGGGTAGAGAGAGACCTCGTCCCTGTGCAGAGCCTCACCCTGGAGCTGGCAGAGAAGAAGAAGGACGAGAAAATATGGTGCAGAGGAAGGTTGCACACCAGTAGAAGTAAAGGTGTGGCTTTTGAAACTGTCAGACATGCCTTGTGTTTTGTAGATTTTCAGAAGTTTGTGCAATTTTATCATTGGAAGCTCCATGAAGTAGCTTTAGAATAGGAATATCAAGGAGATATATGCTATGTCTTATCTGGTTTATATACAGTTAGAATAATTATCAACACTTAAGACTATAAATCTTTTTAAAAATTTGTTTAATAAATATGAAGTAAAAAATCCTTGGCAGTGACATGACATCATGAGCTTTAGCAAGATAAAGCATAGCAGTATTAATACTTTAGGAAATTTTGTGAGACAAACTTGCAAAACTTGCTTCTCTTAGCCTCAATAATTTCCAGTCATTTTTATATGACTAATTTATATATGAGTAAATTTTTGTAATGTTTACAGTTTTGATGTTTAAAATGATATTTCAGGAAAGCAATGTTTCTTTGTGTTGCGGCACCAGCATTTCAATGTACAGGCCATAGTTGCTGTTGGGGAGAGAGTTAGCAAACAGATGGTGAAATTTGTGGCAGCGTAAGTGGAAAAAACTACTTAAATGATTTCTTGGCTTTAAACAATCTTGTGTGGCCTAAGTTTGTGGTTTAAGACCATGTAACATAATTTGTTTGTCAAAAATGATAGTTCCATTAAATGCAGTGGGGTATAAGAGACATATGCTGTTGATTATACATACATGACAATCACATCATCAGGTATACTTTTGATTACATATTGATTTAAATCTGGATTTCAAATTTGTTGTTAAATTGAAGTTTCATTGTTGAGTTCAATGTTATAAAAGAAGTTGGAGGTCATTTTTACATTCAAAGCTAGTCCCCGTTTTTTTTTTTTTTTTTTTTCTAAAAAGTTTTTTTTTTGTTATAATCTCTTACTTGTGAGTTACTGTGAAAGAATATGGCAGTTACGTCTCATGAAATGTTAAGATTCCCCTCTACCCCTTCTATCAAGATACTCACAGAACCCTTGGAGTTCATTATAAAAGTGGGTCTTGGGATATTCCAGTATCACAAAAGAATCTATCATAGACGTTGAAGGCTACGTGAGAAAAGTGGACCAGAAAATAGAGAGCTGTTCTCAACAAGATGTGGAGCTCCATGTGGAACAGGTGACAATATTTGTGTTATTTCTACAGATAATTGTAAAAAAAATGAAGAATTATACTAAACATTAACATGCATCTTACATTACTTGAATTTTTCATATGTTGTGTTGTAAATGTAAAGGGTCTCGTTTGTGAAATTCTGCAAGTGTGTGTGTGTTTTAAACTTTGTGTGCATTTTCATATGTTTGCACATCAATTAATATAAGCCAAGTGTGCGTGAATCCATATGCATTTATAGAATGCCTCTGTGTGTGCGTGTGTGCATAATTTCATCTGTACATGTGTATCTGTGTATTCTGTACTCTGCTGTTATCTACTTCCACAGGTTTGGGTTGTGAGTGCAGCAGAACCTAGGTTACCTGTACAGATTGATGACCTGTCACGACCAGAGAGTGAAGATGTAAGTCTACAAATTGAAGATAACGAGCATTTTCATCATGTAACATCATTGTGCATCTCACATAACCTCTCAACTGGTAAATATGCTAGTGTCAGGACACAAGGTCTTTTTTTCCCTTCACATTATATATATTTATAAAGGAAGGTATCTCCATTGTAAGGAAAGGGGCCAGCAAAATTATTTGCAAATATTACTATTTTTTATCTCTGCCCCATGGAGATTAAAAGTGTTTAAAATGTATTTGTTATATTGATTTTGAATTCAGCTGGCCTTATGATAAATTCATCTTAAGTCTTGATTTTAATATCAGGTTAGGTGCTCATTTGTGATTTGAAAAGCTTGCTGAAAAAATTAAAACAGTCTCCATAAAAAGGCCAAATTAGTTTTCGCTGCTTAAAGCACAATTTTCTTCTCACAAAAAAATAAGATGTTAAAAAAATAAAAGAGAGCCATAAATTCAACGCTTCCTTTACTGTCCATGCAGGACTTGGCCAAAGTGAACCCGGACACCAGACTGGACAATCGCATCCTGGACCTGCGTACTGCCACCAGTCAGGCCGTCTTTAGACTGCAGGGAGGGGTGTGTCGGCTCTTCAGGGACACACTGACCGCCAAGGGGTTCACCGAGATACACACACCCAAAATTATCTCAGGTAACTGATTAATATGAACTGAACGGTAGATGTTAGATTATTTCTTTAGCCTAGTTGGCACAGTGACAAAAATCAATTTTTTTAGCTAAATATCATGGATTCTGCTTATTAATTAGTAATCCTAAGCTACGATGTTATTTAACTTATTAAACATTATTAAACTTATGCACTATCTTAATACAACTTTCATAATAATACAAGAGTCTTGTGGTTGGAACAACCAAATTTTTACCAACTTGATAGAGTGACCTCTATATTACCAGCCTCCAGCTAAAAAATAAAGATGGGCCTGGTTTTGCAGTCTTTATATTAAAGTCTGCTTTTCTTTTCACAGGATTTCTTCTGTTCATAATGAAATACTTACGTGTAGGTTGTTACTATTTGATCTTTATGCAAATACCAATGTGAACTTTTTGTCACCCTTACCTGACTTGTTGAGAAGTTAAAATTTGAAATCTATTGTATAAACCCCAATGTTTCAGCTGCCAGCGAGGGAGGGGCCAATGTATTCACAGTAAGCTACTTCAAGGGCAGTGCTTATCTGGCACAGTCACCACAACTGTACAAGCAGATGGCCATTGCAGGGGACCTTGACAAGGTGTTCACAGTGGGGGCAGGTAATGAGGATTAAGATGAGTTATAGAAACATGCACATTTTAGCTTAAGAATTTTCATTGACCTTCATTTGCCAGTTTTCAAGAGCGTTTGTCTAATTGCTGATTAGAAGATTTTGCAGAGAAATCAATCACAGACAAATTTTAGCAGGAAGGTAATGGCAAAGACCTAGACATCACTCGAACGGCTTACGTGAGCTTCATCTCTGATTATAGTGATTTATTTCCAGTGTTCCGTGCTGAGGATTCCAACACACACAGACATCTGACAGAGTTTGTAGGCCTGGATGTGGAGATGGCGTTCAAGTATCACTACCATGAGGTGATGGACGTCATCGGGGACTTGTTTGTCAATATTTTCAAGGGACTCAGGGACAAGTATGTCTATTATGTAGTACTTTTACTTGTAGTTCTGTCATGTTATAACTCTGTTGTGATCTAGTTCAAATGATTAGTTTGAAGTTAAATGATGGTGATGTGCTAGATATAGTGGTCCTCCCTCCCTCCCTCTCTCTCTCTCTCTCTCTCTCTCTCTCTCTCTCTCTCTCTCTCTCTCTCTCTCACACACACACACACACACACACACACACACACACACACATAATGGCTCGATGGATATGTTCAGTCATTAAAGAAATGTTTGTGTTTGGTGTATTCCCCCCATACATATAATATATATGCATATTTCAGCTTTCAAACAGAAATTGATACTATAAACAAGCAATACAAGAGTGAACCCTTCAAGTTCTTAGAGCCATCGTAAGTAGAAAACAAGCCAGGTTTATTGTAAACCTAGGAATGTTCATGTGGTAGTACAATTTGTCATTTAGCTATGGTAATTACTGGATCTTTTCAGTGGGGAAAAATTCAGAATTTTACAGAATAATACATTTTTAAATTTGTAAATTCTTGAAATTGCACCATTCCTGTTGAGTGGTAGCAACAAAACTGAAAAGTGAGTCTTCTTTTATCTCTATTGTATGTAGTAAAAGCACTACAAATGCTACACAAAAATATATTTTTTAAAAGATTCCAAAATTATGTAATACTTTGCCCCATTGAAAAGATCAAGTAATTGCTGTACTCTAGATTTAATGCAGTGGACAGGTTTCTAACTTTGGTAACAGTTTTTACGGCCATTCCACGAAAAGGGGTACAATTCCAAAACAAGAAATGCAGTGATATGAACTTTGCAAAACTGGAAAACTTTTTATATTATTTTGATGAAGAGGTATTCAGAGAGTAGTAGAAGAATTTTAACCCACACCATTACTATATTTAAAGAAATATGCACGTGTAAACATGGTACAGTATTTTTTTCGTTACGGAGGTTAGGTAACATCTAAATTAGCTTATATTTCAATCATGCCAAAGGTCACAGGCTCCATATTTGATTCAATTATTAAGATTTTGTATGTATTCAAAATATTATTGCCCATTTAAGATTTCTCTTCAATTATAGAAAATGCGGTGCAAACACATTGATAATAAGTGGCTCGTTTTCTATAAATACAAAGCCTGAGATATTCCAATTTAAATATTTTATTAATCATTGGGGACAGACTTTCTTTTTTATCATTCTATTTGTTTATGAACAAAGTGCAATCAATCTATTATGATATGAGCATTGATCAATGAGCACACACATATCCAATGTTCAAATGAAAAACGAGCAATTTCGTAACGGAGGTTAGGTCATTAATAGCGATCATATTTGTTTTGATATTTCTTAGCTTAAAGTAGACTTTAGAGGCTGAATTCGGAATTTGTAGTATTACAGATACGACAAACGTTACATAATAACAAAACATTAAACCTACATGTACATGATCGCAGCTATAGGCAGTAAAAAACAACACAATACCCGAGAAAGTTGATGTATACAATCAAGTAGGCCGACAATAGACACGTGTTTGCGGATAATTGTCCATTTAAAGTTACTGGAAGCATCTAGAAGATGTTAAAAACTATTATGTGCTACTGAAACAGTAAAATAGGGCCTAATAACCCCGCAGTTCTACCTGATAAATACAAGCGTTGCTTCAATGCTTAATATATTTCGCCATATGTCTCCCGCGAAAATAATGTCTGCTACATGTACGCTAGTACTGATGTCAGCTAGTACCATTTTTCTTGCCAAGACAGTCCTGAAAACTCCTCATTTCGCTTAAAATCAGAATGATAAGTTCAAAAAGGCATCGTCAAGTGACAAATGGAAATCAATTTGAAAAAACAAATCACGATTTACCCCCGATTTTATAGCAAACTCGAGTAAAAACTTAAATGGTTAGCTTATCTTGATAGAATTATCAGCTATATATGTATATTTTATATCTATATTAATACGGGGTAATGTCTTTAACAGCAAGCCGTATGAATGCATACTACATCAGAACATAGAAGTAGAACTACTTCTATGATCAGAACTAACTCCCAAAACCACAGAAATAACGTATTGAAGTATTAACAGTCATTTTTATAACAATTAACTTATTTCGGTAACGGAGGTTAGCATAACGGATGCAAGGTGACACGCACTCTTTTTCAGTTTTTATCCTGGGGATAACTTTGCATAACTATTGAATGAATTTTTTAGGAAGAAGTTGGTCCTTGCTTAACAAAAATGTTGTTTTTAACTTTCTAAAACAACATTTTCTTCAAATTTGGTCCGTTACTGAGGTTAGGCTCTTAAATGCGACACCCCGACTTTTGTGAGTTAACATTCTCTATGATGGAACGCAACATTCAAAATTAAAAAATAGCACTGTTTTATTAAACTTCATGTATTAAGAGTTTGAAAAATGCACAGGAAGGCCATTTAAGAGCATTTTCTTTTATTCTTACACTGAGTTAAAAAAGCGTTACGGAGGTTAGGGGTTACTGAGCGACATTGATTAAACTATCACAGTGACGTAACTAACCAACAAATTCGACAGAGAACACCATGTATGATAAAAAGAAACATGAATTCAAATTAGTTGAGCACTAAAAACACTAAAATACGGGAAAATATAAACTTTTTCTTGTGGCAAATCAGCTATAATACCGAAGCGACACGTCGAAATCGTGCTTTTTGCGGCATATAGACCCCCGGGGTTCCCGTCAAAGCAAGTGGTACTATATCAATTGTTGTTTTTTAAGTAGAACACATCGGGTCCTGCTAAAAAAGGCTAAAAAAAGCTAAATTGCAGATGCTTTTACTACTGTAAATAAGCTGCGACAGGTATTATTCAGAATTGTACCCTTTTTCGTGGAATGGCTGTTTAGTCTGGTCTGTCTGATTTAGTTGAAAAACCATGTGTGACATGCAGTTTGGCCTAGTTTTAACAGGTTTTCCTTGTTTAAGTTGCTGAAATTTGTACATAATCTTCAATTAAAAGAGCAAATTGCTCAAGTTAGATTTAGTTTAATGTTTAAATGACACAGTTGTTTAAAAAAAGTGGAAGCAATTTTATGTTTAATCTGATACAAAGAGAGAAAAAACTGAGAGTGAACAATTTGGTTTTAGGCTCAGGCTGGAGTATCCCGAAGCTGTGAAACTTCTAAGAGCTAACGGAGTTGAGATGGGGGATGAAGACGATCTTACCACTCCTGCTGAGAAACTGCTGGGTAGACTGGTCAAACAAAAGGTAAGGTTATAGACTAATAAAAGTTTTTTAAGAAAAATGATTAGAAATCGTTCTCAGACTTAAAATAAAAGCAATTTGCATGAAATTTTTGTCCCAATTGTCTAATAAAATGGTGAATCTACTTGTGTTCTATCAGTATAGATTGTTGTGGAAGGTGTGTACCTCATGAAAACACTACTAGTTGATGACAGGGCACAGGCTATAATGTATCGTATATTATTTGAAACATTATAGCTTTTCTGTATGCTAACCATATTTTTAGACTAACTATAGCATATAGATATTGAATAATGGGACTAGTTACTGTGTAACTTAATATATTTATTCTTCACATAGTAGTTTATTTGAAATATATCGGCACTATATCTCAGTCAAGTCTAGCACATGATCTGTTAGGATGAATGCATGTATATGTTTTTATCAATAATATTTTCCAGTATGACACTGACTTCTTCATGTTGGACAAGTATCCCCTGGCTGTGAGACCGTTCTACACTATGCCTGACCCAAATAGCACGGTAAGTTCCGCATTATTAGGGGCAAGCAAATGACACTTGAAGTTGTAACAGTTCAGGATGAAGGTTCTCTTTTGAAAAAATTATAAGATTTTTATTGAAAATTGTTTCTATTTGTGACAATAAGTATTAGGCCAGTTTGAATAAATATTCTTTAATTTTTTAAAATTTAAATGCACACTACTAATTAATGTAATAAAAATCAGTTTGAAGTTATTTTCAGCTAGCAGGGTTTATTTATTTGATAAATCAAAAAGGGAATATCATTGGAAACTCAAAGTAAGAATATTTATCTTTATATTGATTAACTCTGATTAACTCTGATATTTTAGAAATATTCCAACTCCTACGACATGTTCATGAGAGGAGAGGAAATTCTCTCTGGTGCACAGCGAATACACGACCCCGACTTCCTGTCAGAGAGAGCAAAGGTTCATGGAATAGGTAAGTGTATTAGGTGCACTTTTTTTTTTTTTTTTTTGGGGGGGGGGGGGTTATCAGTGAGTTTTGTTTTGTCCATTCTCACTTCTTTGCTTGTTGCCAGTTGTATTCTGTTTGAAGAATGCCCACTGCACTCCTGTTAAAATGTTGTAAAGACTGTGATGGAATCTCAACTACCGCATCCATCTCGTTGTGTGCATTGCAGCTTGTAGCCAGGTTTAAACATTATTGAATCAATTCGGGATAGAATTCAGATCAGGGGACATGAGACGGCATCACATTTTGAGTGAGAAAAGAAAGCAATTTTTAAACCTGAGAGGTGATGAAATAAACTTACGAAATTTTTGTTCTTGGTATTTCAAGTATATTGTTCCAACCTGTGAATTTAGCTTTCAATGTACATTTATTACTAAACCTGGAAATCATTAGAAGCATATGAAAAGTAGCAACATTCAAGGAAGCAAAACAGAAGAGAATGTATCCAATTCAGATGCAGAAGTGAATACTCAAACAAGTGGGGAAGGCCTCACAGTCAGAGATGTTGTTATTACCAAGAATAAGCATGCATGTTTGCATGCAAAGTGTTTTCTGTCTCACCTCACATTGGGTTAGAACACAGCAGAAATTACTGGGCAAACAGCCCTCAAGCTATCTGGGTTTGCTGAAATAAAGCAAAAAAGTGCAGCGCCCAGCAAGAAGATTTTTAAAGAAAACACGGACATGTGGAATGTATTGAAGCGTTTCTTGAAGCTGAAATGCATGCCAGTATCTTTTTGCTGGTTTGTCATGATAAGATAGGTCTTATTGTGGCAAATTATAATAGATATTGTTTTAGACCATTTAGTGTCCAATTATTTCTAATCTCTGTGTCTAAGCCTCTTGGTTGTTGTTTTGAGTGGGGAAAAATCAATATTTATTTTTAGTTGAGCATTTTGTGGGGAAGTGGAGGTTAGAGGCAGTATTTGCAGGGTTTGATGATAAATGTGTAACCACAGTCCAACTTACCAAGTGACTGTAGCACAGACAGTGTATATCTCGCACAGACCTTGTTTCGGTTATACAAAGGCTCTATTCCCATAGATTTTGGATTGATCTATCCCCGCGGGGAGTCTCACTAGATTACTTTCAGATAATCCGACGTAAATGTCCGTCCTGCCTACTACAAGCTGTAAGGGGGTAATTAACTTTCGTGTCCGCCCTGCTGACAGCTATTTAGCGTGAACCCCCAGGGAGTTAGGTCGATCTAAAGTAGGTCGATCTAATCTATGGAAATGGGGTGAAAGAATCATTTGACTTAAATGCTTCTTGGTCTTGAAGCTTCATAAGAAGGAAATGATGCCTATCATTTTGGGTGTTAGTTTTAAGTGGCATACATTTTGATATTTTTTCAACTTTATTTGTGTTTTGTCAGGAGCCCTGGCATCAAAAGGAGCTGAATTTATCCCAAGTCAATTTTACATTTTAACATCTTTTCACAGACAAGGCTTAATAAAACTACTGGCAGTTACAAAAGTCTGTACATGTCCATGATAATAATCACAGCTGACAGTAGAAGAAATTCTAGTAGTGTTGCATCAGATTGAGATCAGGTAGATTGTAAGACCAGTAATGTAGATCTTTTAAAGTTAAGTAGGTTGTCTTGAAATAGACATGGTGTTTCTATTAAGCAAGAGCTATCTGAATCTAGACCCATCACTTTTAATATACCACAGCCCTAAGTGATTGAACTGTACATTGGCAACAGGTCATTCAAAGGGTATACCCAAGGGTACCACACTGATGGTACCTTAGCCTTGGTACCACCCATGCTTCTGGCTCTCATCTTTTACCAGCAACTGCCCTGTATCTGAATATAGTTTTGTGTATATGGTATTGGGTAGTTATACTAAGAGATAGAGATAGCAGAAGAGAGGCTGTTGTGGGAATATCACTGAAACTGACATAAGGAATTAAAAAGATAGACTGGCTAATGCCTGGAGAGGCTTCTGGAGGGAGAGTTAGGACCACCAAGTTGTTGGTTTAATTCATCCAATTGAAGGAACAGATTGGGCTAATTTTCCTTAATGTGCACAGTATGGTGGGTTATCTGGAGAGACACCTCTGTAAACATGGAGCTCTCCTTCCTGGTCCTCGGGACAAGAAGTGGTGGGAAGAATGGGTGGAGAGGGGGGGGGGAGTGATCACCTATGTAAGGGGAACTGAAGATAATTGTGTTAGTTCTAAAATGGTGTGGTACATATCGTGATTTGACCGTGCAACTCGGCAGTAGCATATTTATTTGTTTCTTTGATTTGATATAGCCAATAAGTAATATAAACAACTTCTCTCTCTCTCTCTCTCTCTCTCTCTCTCAGTGCAAATACTTTGGTGGGGAAGGGGGAGAAACCTTAGACCCCATTTTCCCATACCTGGATCGATCTAGCAGGATCGACCCATCTCCGAGAGGTTTCTCGATAAATTGTGTTCAACTTAAGCAGCTCTGGTGTCTTGCACACCTATTAAAGCTGTTAGGGTGTATTTTACGCAGCTGTTAGGGTGTAAGTTAAGCAGCTTCAGTAGGCATGCCAGACATCTAAGCCGCTTAAGCTGAGTGCAATTTGGGAGAATCCCCTCAGAAATGGGTCGATCCTGCTAGATCGATCTAGGTATGGGAATGGGGTCTTAGTGAAAGGTTTCTAGTATAGAGCTAAAAGGGCAGTTTAGAGCTGTTCGATCTATGTCAACTTTTACCAATAACAGATATTTGAAAGTCTGTCTCATGTTGAAGGAGACGCTATATAATCTGGTTCTAGTGGGGATTGCCAGGCCGCTCTCTGATCTGTGTTGCCATTAGTGTTCACATTAGTGTTCATTAGTGCACTTTGATCAGGACAGACACACGCACAGTATGGAGGCAGAGGGAGATGAAAACTTCTGTTAAACAGGAGGACATTCAATACCCGGTCCCATTGTTTTCATGATGTGGAGACAAATTGTGGGTGACTTCGCTGCAGCTGTTTACTCAGGTTTACTATTGTCTCGGTGAAAGAGGAAATAGAATGCATGGGGATTTAGTCCTGGGCAGATTGTTATGTCACAGGCAATTTGTGACAGACGTTTCCTTTGGTGGAAAAAATTCACCACATGACAAGTGGGTGATCATGATGTGGTATAACATTTGCAGTTTGTGATCTCATCTGGTGGTAGTGTGTATTTGAAAATAATAAGTTCATTTGAAAGGAGTTATAAAGAGATCACCAGTTTTTTGGGCGTCCTCTTTCTCCTGAGATGCTATTAAATAGGTTTTCCCAATACTTCAAAATACTTATACTGTGATCAGAAAAAAGTTTGTTGATGCTCAACATTTGGGCAAATCAAAGATTGTTGTGGATTTAAATTCAGTTTTCACATTTCACTTGTTTTCACAGCCAGAGTTGTTATGTCTGGTAATGTGTTTTCTGGACACTTTTCTCTAACAGACACATGCCACTTAGTTGTTACTCTTTTTTTTTCAGTGAAAAGTATATGGAACATGTGAATTACCTAAAATGTTTTTCACTCAAGTCACTTCCAGATTTCTGTCATGATTTTTTTTTATAATTAAACAAAACTAATTAAAAATTGTCTTTCTTGGATTATTGATAATAATAATATGATCCGAACTAATAAAATATGATTTGGTATGTTTCTTCTGTTTCCAGACTTGGAGAAAATCCGTGCTTACATTGACTCTTTCCGCTATGGGTGCCCACCTCATGCAGGAGGAGGAATAGGTAAGAGATGGAAACAGGATTTACTGTGGTGATGGCGTAAAAGATGGCTTAGAACCAGTCTTTGAGCCCCCTGAGAACAGCAGACTCACCGCTTTGTGAGTAGATTCCCTGCTGGGATTATGCAACACGCATGTAAGGGGGTCAGCCATATTTGATCCACAGATCTGTTAGATCGCATTCACAACGAGTTGAGCCAGGCTTTACAAATCCTGGGGACTAAANGAAGTTTGCAAGAAAGATGAAGTTTTCTGTCGAATTTGCAGCATATTTGAAAAAATATGAAGAAAAAGAAAGCCTACAATTTGCAAAAAGCTTGCCAGTGACGGACTGTTTGAACGGCCTTTTTAAACAATCGATGCTACTGGTTTTTCAAAGAATCAAACTAATCAATATAACAAACGCCTTATCCTTTCATTCCCATCATCATTTTGACACACTGTTTTTTATTAATGCTTCATGGTTTGATAAAATGACAACCTAATTTTAAAGGTACTGTGTATATATTACAAAATAACAGACAGCTTGCCTTCACTGCCTGGGTCAGAGTTAGAGAGGTGGTAAACAAACACATTTCCATTAGTCTTACTGGTAGTTTCATATTTTCCTAACTATTATACTGGTATCAATTGCCATTTCAATTGGTAGGGCTTTAGCAATACACATTTGATCTATGACTATCCAAAACTTATTAAAAATAATAAAGGCTCAGGAGACGTATTCTGTAATATTAGCTTTGGATAGCAATTTGATAATATGATGACAGAAAGAGTATTGCGTATCAAACACAGAATATCAGACAACTTGCCCCCACTGTCAGAATCAATGTTAGAGAGGTTGTAAACAAATTAAATTTCAGTTAGTCTTACAGGATCTTTTATATTTTCCTAATACTGGTATCCATTACCATTTCAACTGGAAGGCCTATATCAGTGTGCAGTTTGTATAGGTAAATTGATCAATTTTGTCCAAATATACTAAAAATACATATGTATGTTAATCCCCGATATAAATTCAACACTCTTCATCTCACTCAGCAACATAAATACACACATGAGTTCAGATAAGGATATCTAGACCAACATTTTGTAGTTCAGGAGGAACTAAAATGTGCATAGTGACTTATTGCTTAATATTCATTAGAGGATAGCGGTCGTAAGTCTTAATTATCTTCATTTCTACACAATATTAAAGCAAAATATTTCTTCCAAATTTTTCGGTCACATTCTTACCACCCTGAGTGTATGTTGTTATAAAGTATAAAGCTTCAATGCTGGGTACAACATGAACTATTTTAATGTATGTTCTATATCACTAGTCAGCAAGATGGATTTCCATCAGAATATCGGAGGATCGTGATAGAAAAGAGGGAACGGGTCTATAATTTCCTCGCAACGTGGTCAGATGTGCGATGATGTTAAAACTGCAGATTTACAGATACGCTCATGAAGCCAAATTCATAATTAGTGTTTTATCTGCTGGCCAATGATAAATTCACTTAATCATAGCGTGCTCCATACCCTCTACCATGGCCACAGCTTGGTATTTCACTAGAAATTCACTGAAATATTGCTGGTTGTATTTCATGACCCTATTCTCTTCACCATTATAAAATATTAATTGCACCCCTATGCGCCAGCAAAATGTACATATACTGTATACACATTTATGTCTCCTTGACCGAAAAAAGTTCAATACGGTGTCAGACAAAAGCATTAAAGTAACAAACACAATAATGATGTTCGAAATTTGGCCGATGCTGGCCGCTTTTATTGTGACTCCTTCTAATAAAATGAAATGAAGTAATTTTAGAAGCTAAAATTGAATAATTGTGACAGTGCCAAATTACGTAACTTTTACGCCTGAAAAGACTTTATTTTATATATAATTCCCAAACAACATAGCGCAGACGTTTTAATTTGTGGGGTTGCAAAGAGGCCGAGAAGAAAACTCCAGACAACGACCGGACGAAGCACGTCGGTGGAATTTGAATTAAAGGACAATCCAAAAGGAGATTGAGTAAGAAATGTATTTATTGTCGTTTAACGGGTCAACGATGACGTGTCTTAGGAGGAAGGTCATTAGGAGGTACAGGGGGCGCTGTATTCACAAAGCAGATCACGTGAGGAAGGGAAACGATCATTCGAAGTCGAGCTACGCTACTGTACAGACATTCCAGTTTATTCCAAATAAAAGTTTTTGTATAAAAACATTTGTATAAAGATAGGGTTTTTTTATGCGTTATACAATTATCAGATTCATATAAGTACGAACTGTACCGGAATTGGAATTAGGCTATGCGGGAAATGTAACTGGTGACGGAGCAAACGTTTGTATGTAATATTGTATCGTCTGTACACAGGCAGAGGCACATCGACTCATTCCTATTTATAAATAAATGATTTGATGTTTGAGATGAAGTGGTTTTATTCGTTGAGAGTTATTAGACGATAAATAATTTATATACGTTTAAGAGTAAGCGAATTAGAATATAAAGTATGATTATGCTGTACATAAAACATATGTTCATTTCTTGCGGGAAGAAGAAAAAATTTCTTTTAAAAATATCTGAGATTGATGTATCAGTTCGATTGTTATAATCGACAGTAAAACAGTTTGGCCTTCTTGTTGTACAAATTTAAGTATTAATTTCTTAAAATGTCTTATTATCCACACGTTGCCGCATTTATTTATTTCATTATATAATGAACAAATTGATATCAACGACAGATACGGATAATGGATCATGTAATAATACCAAATATATATATATATATATATAAATATATATATATATATATATATATATATATATATATATATATATATATATATATATATATAATAATTTGAGAAATATAAAATAATTATTGATTCAAAGGAAAACAGAGAATTAAGTGTGAACTATTTTTCTAAAATATTACTTTAATTGTATTTAGTAAGCTATATACAATTCAATTAAATGTATTCCATTAAATATATCTCTATTTTTTTTTTTTTTTAATTTTGCTTTCTTAATATAAAGGACCAAGAATGATAAAAATGTTTTATATCACATTTTACTTCATTAAAGGACTGTGAAGCTTAACCAAAATAAATAAGTATTATACCCAAGAAGCAATTTTAATTATCTAATTAAATTAATCAAATTAAATTTTATTTAGTTACAACTCCAAAGCATCCTCAATACATTATCAAAAGAAAGCGAGTAAAGGGGACTGGAACTGAATACCATGAAAACGGAATGCAAGGTTGTATCAAGGAAAATACAAATACCCAAATGCAACATCAGCTGCAAAGGAGTTAAAATCAAACAAGTATACCAATTTAAGTACGTCGGTTTCATGTTGAGACCAGATGCAAAATGTAACAGAGAAATTCAAAACGTATAGCAATGGCAAAAGACGCTTTCAATAAGATGAGTCCAGTACGGTGCCGTTGAATTGTTTTTGACATTTTATAGGTGTCATTTCAAGTTTTAGTATTTGTGATTGTGATATTCCTAAAGATTAAAACAGTATCTTGATTAGCATCATAATGAATAAAATTACAATATGTGTATTTGTGTTATTCCGTCTTCACATTATGGAGCAATCCAACTTAAGTGGTGTTCGATGCTATAATGCGCTACGTTTTCTAAGGCTTCAATTTAGCAGGTGGGTACAATCGTCATTGCAAATGGCGATTGATCGCTGTGCTTGCGTGTGGTCGCAATTTGTGGTATTTTCGAGTTATGGAGCCCTGCCGTAACTCGAAAGAAGCGCGCATTTCGACCGAGCGCAAGCGTCTGGATTTCATAACTCGCCATACTCTCCAAAGCGTTATACTGATATACATTACCAGTGTTAGAGAGGTCGTAAACAAACACATATTTCATTAGTCACACTGGAAGTTTCATACTTTCTAAAGCGTTATACTGACATACATTATCAGTGTTAGAGAGGCCGTAAACAAACACATATTCAATTAATCCTACTGGTATTTTATGTTTTCCTAAGCGTTATGTTAGTATCCATTACCATTTCAAGCAGTTGAGCTGTTTTAATGTACAGTTGAAATAAGTAAACTGATCTATGGTTCTCCGTAAATTACATTCGAAGGTTTAGGATGAGTTTTATGTCTGTTAATGTTGGACATTAACCCACCACTCCTCTCCTTACTCGGCACCTGACACTCGAGGGGGGAGAGATTTGAAATGGCATTTCGACCAACAGGAACGTTAAATGTGCTTAGTTTATTATTCTTTTACTTCGTCAGAGGATTATGACCGTGGGTTTAAACATTTTGCAATTTACACACAGTACTGGAGCAATATGCACATCCCAAAGCTTTCGGTCACACCCTGACCTTCCTCATTGAATATTATTACGAGATTTATAGCTTCAGCATTGTGTAGACATTGAAAGTTTTAAAATATGATCGATATTAATAAAAAGCATGTGTATGGGGTTTCATAAGAATATTAAAGGACCGTAAAACGGAATCAAAGTCAACTTATATAAAATCTACACTAAGGGAAATATTANGTTTTGGGTTTTCTTCAAACTAACTAACGAGGAATCTTTACTGAATACATGAAATGCATTAAACTATTATTTAATTTAAAATAAATGAAAAGACAAATGTTCAAATGAAACAATTTATGAATGTTAATATGAAAATAATCAATTTAAAAAATGGGTAAGGTTTAACTGCTACACAATAGGAACTGAGGCAGAAAAATTGAAAGACTGCAGAAATGAGCATTTAACCAGAGAACCTGGCTGTAGAGTACACATTTTATCTCAATTAAGTAAGTAAAAACATATTAAATATACCCCACCATATCTGATAATCTAACACTAATTCAATAGGCATTTTCAAATGAGAATTATATAAACTTGATTTCATCTTGTTTAACTGATATTTTAATATTAAAATATTACAGAAATCAGAAAGACCAAATGCTACATAACAGTTGTGTCTCTTAGCCTACTATACTAAACTAAACACTACACGTACCATGGGTTAACAGATGGAGCAGTTTTTTAATAAG